CCCCAAAACCCCAAAACCCCAAAACCCCAAAACCCCAACTTAAATCTTATAATTGAATTATAGTTTGAATTATATATGGAAGTTAAGAAGACAAGACAGAGTGCGTCGCATCCTTGAGTATATTAAAATTAGCAATCCTCGATATTACTCATTGGGCAATAGAGGAGGGTTTGCCAACAGATGACAGGTTTCATATTTTTATCTGTTTCCAGGATATCTTGTTTTAAATAAAGAATATGAAGCATGCTGATGTACTTAAAATGATACTGTTCCTAGTAAAGAATGACCTTGGTTTTAATCTGCTTGATTTTATAGGAAAGAGAACCTCTATTCTAAGGTCTATTATCAGCCAGCCTTTCAACTCAGATGGAGAATTCGGTAATAATTATTTTCAAATTTTACTACTGGAATGACATCCCAGAGATTTCAGTTTGGGGGATTAGACATACTCTGGGTTTCTCAGAAGATATGTGACATTAGAATTACGATATACTTTGCATTAGAGACTTGGTATCGAGTATTGCCAATAAGAATAGGTTTTGAACTATGGTGTTTACAGATAATTACCTGTTTTGCTTACTAAGATATTGCCTTCATGTCAATCTGAGCATTCAGGCTTTGTTATAAGAATTTGAAGAAATTAATAAGGTCTTCATTGTGTTTGCTTGAAATATTAAGGTCTGGGATAAATCATGACTATAATCTGTTATGTACTGCAAAACTTGTTCGGGTGTTGTGTTTATTCAAAACAAGCTATAAAGAAAACATTGTTTTAAGCTATCAATTGGTTTATCTTTCAAGATAAATTAATGAGTTTTGGGTTCTATCATGCTATTTCTAGTTTAAGATTTCCAGAAGTTTATGGTATCACTTTAGTTGGCTTGCACGAAAAGATTTTAAACGCAAATAAGAATGAAGCTTTTAGAATGATCAGGAAGAACAAGCTGGTTTCTAAAAAGTACTTTACTGATTATCCTTCAGGAAAGAATATGTGGATAAGCTAGAAAAGTGCAAATAAAGAGCATTGAATTGAGGAGTATTTGCTCTGTTCACAGTGTAGAGAGTTAGACATAGACAAAGATGCTACTCTTATGATTAACAACTTTACATTGTTAACTCAGGTGGAGTCGAATAGCCTTGATATTATCTATATTAGATTTATGATTGGGGATGAAAGCAAGCAGTTGATATTCCCTCCTTTCGCAGACACTTCGTATATCCCTATTAGTAATATAACGAAGGATCTGTATTTGGTGTTCCTGAGAAAATAAGGGAGAGGAGCCTTCCTATCTTGATAATGTAACAAATCGCTTACTTTTAGATGATAGGGAATATTGAATTACCTCTTGAAGAGTTTTTAGATCAGAGGAAGCATAGAATCAAATAGGTCAGTTCAGCTAACCTCAGATGCTTCGCAAGTGCTGACTCATCTGGATATGTGATTTGATGTCAGGCTTTGATATTCGAGAGTTACATTTCTGAAGAACTTAATCCAAGGTAAGAGTTTTTGTTCTATCAAAATAGACATTGATGAGCTTATTAACAGGTGAGTTTGTGCTAGCTATTAATCAATTTTAACCTTTATTGACATGGTGTTGGTTATATTGTTCTGATGGCTTACAGAGAGACACTATTTGAAAATTATGACCAAGAAGAAGACAAAGATCAAGAAAGTCTTCAACATTTCATTGGTAATTCTCCTTAGAAATCTTATAGCTGAAAAACAGAAAGCTTTTCAGGGATTTTTAGCCAGAAAGAGTCTGAGGGATGCCCAAAGTAAAGAACTATATAAACAGTTTAATCTTAAGGTAAACTTCTTCACTTATATAGATGGGGGAAGAGTCAGAAGAAAGCAGTAGTTCTGATTCAAATGATTCTAATACTGATTCTGATTAATTGTGATCATACTTTTAAAGTTTCAATATCAGTTTTTAAAAAAGGGGTTTTGGGGTTTTGGGGTTTTGGGG